ATTAGAGATAATGGACATCCTTGTTTAAAATGTTTATAAATTCATTTTTTCTGAATCATATCCATTATTTCTAATCAAAGCATGAAAGCTTTCATATAATATTGGAATTGTGCTCACAATAAGGATTCATTAGAAAAATATGCACTTTAAAATGTGCATTTTGGAAAAGGAGCATGCAGCATCCAGCTTTAGCCAATGGTGGACGCAGGTGCATTTGGAACTGCCACTCTTTCTGTGCACTTGTCTTAGTATAGCACCAATAAAGGAAACTTGCACCTGGGATTGAGACTGAGGCGACTCAAACTTCAGGAGGGAACTAACTGATTCTCCTGTCAACACTGTGAAAGTACTTCTGAGAACTTTGCTATAGCCATAGAAGATGCCATACAAGAAAAAAATAAGCCAGGTTGGGATGGAATTACGGGAGGTAAAGGTTCCCCTGCACATATATGCTAGTCGGTCTGACCCTGGGACTGGTGCTCATCTCTGTTTGTAAGCCAAAGAAGCAGCATTGTCCAAAGACACCTGCATGGTCATGTGGCCGCATGATGAAATGCCAAGGTGCACAGAATGCTTTTACCCTCCCCAACAAAGTGGTTCTTATTTATCTACTCACATTTGCATGCGTTCAAGTGGCTTGGTAGGCAAGAGCTGGGACAAGCGGTGGGTACTCACCCCGTCAAGCAAATTTGAACTGTCGACCTTTCAGTCAACAGTCTAGCAGCTCGGTGGTTTAACCCACTGCACCACCCACATCCTTGATATACCAATGGTAGCAGTGACTAAACCCCTGGTGTGCAGTTTGGGTTTCTGTGAAACTAGCCCCGCCATGCAGAAAATGTAGCTAAGTGGGCTTATTGGAAGCAGGGGAGGAGTGTGCCAAAATTCAGCAGAGTGGCAAGGACACTTCCAGGATGCTTTGGGGGACCCAAAGTTCATTTGGGGGACCCAAACCATGCTGGGGGGCATCAGCCACACATTGCACCCCCCACTATAAGTGATAGGCTGTATCTGAGAGAGTAGACCCTTTCAGAGAGGCAACTGTGGCTCCTCCATTCAATGGATGTGTATAGTTATCATGACAGCAGGATCTCCTTTACACACATGTGTGTGTATTCTCCATTAACAGATGCTGTGGGCCCTGGAACATATTGATGTGGTGGTGAAGCCCAGCTGTGAAAGAGGTTTAGGACAGGATGAGTTGTCTTCTCGAAGTGACGTGTTCAAGGCCCAAACGCATGAGATGCCCACACGGAAGTTGTGTGAGGCCATTTCTTCCTTTGAACTAGCAAGCCCAGGGGTCTAGTTTACGGTTTGCTTGAATTGTCCCTTTCGTCTCTCATTGCATCCTCAGTGAATTCCCCCTCCCTCAAAGTACTTCTTGAGAAGGAGCTCCTGAGACAGCTGGTGGAAACCCCACTCCTAATGCAAATAGCACTTTGGGGGAAATTTTGTCAGGGTCATGGGGGGTTTAGAGGTGCTATGGCGCGATGGGCAGCCTACAAATATTTTGAATGAAGGTATGCATGCATGAGAATACACTCCAGGAACTGTCAGTGCCACATTATTCTTTAGCAGCGTCACACTCTAGGCTATAAGCTGCTGAATCAAGTGTTCTATGCAGCCCACCATTTATGCTTGTGTTTCAGAGGGGCTGACTCTGGATTGGTCTCTGCCTTCTGGTCTCTCTATCTGCCCTGGACAGCTTACCAGATCTCCCTCCTCTCTCCTGTAGGCTCTGCCTCCTCTGTAACAGAAAAAGGTGGACTTTTTATACATTTGAAACCATGCAGCTTTTCCACAACTTTAAAATATAAGGGGAGGCACTCAGCAGCAAAGCCATTTCCCCTCTTGGCCCAACACAATTTGTGTAGATGTGATGTTGCAGCCCTTTCTTTCTTTGTTTCCCTACATCAGAGTGAGTTGTGTTGCAGTGTGATATTACAGACCACATGCATTTGTCACACGGTTCTTCTCTTTCACCTCTGGGGGTACCAGCAGCTTGGCTCTGCAGAAGCAGATCTCTTTCAGTGCCTTTGTCTGATGTGAGGATGCAGAGATCAGGGAAAGGGGGAGATTGATTTCCCCTTTGAAAATTAAGGAGGTGTTCCCCCCATTGTATTTGGAATCTTGATTTTGATTTTGGAATGTGTGCTCTACCAAAGTAGGATGGAGGAAATATGGGGGAAATCAACTAGTTTTTAGAATCATAGAATAGTAGAGTTGGAAGGGGCCATGAAGGCCATCAGGTCCAACCCCCTGCTGTTGCAGGACACCACGTTACACCATCCCACTCAGATGGCTGCCCAGTTTATTATTGAATGTTGCTAGTGTGGGAGAGCCCCCCACCTCTCCAGGCAGTTGGTTCACTACTATATTGCTCTGACAGTGAGGAAACTTTTCCTGATATCTAGCCTGAACCTGGGGTGGCACAACTGGACTTAATTATTTCATGTCCTACACTCTGGTATCAGCGAGAAGATATCTTGACCTTTCTCTTTGTGACAGCTTTTGAAGTACTTATACAGGGATATCATTCCCCCCCCCCCGCACCCCCAGTCTTCTCTTCTCAAGGCTGAACATGCCCAGTTTTCTCAGTCTCTCCTCATAGGACACTGTTTCCAAACCCTGGATCATTTTTGTTGCTCTCTGTGGAACCCTTTCTAATTCACCTGCATCTTTCTTAAATCATGGTGCCTAGGACTGGACACAGTATTCCACATGAGGTCTGACTAGTGAGATGTACAGAGAAACTACTACATCTCATGATTTGGAAATAATACTTCTGTTAATGCATCCCAAAATGGCATTTGCCCTTTTGGTGGCTGAATTGCATTGTTGGCTCATGTTTAGCCTACTGTGCACAACTATTCCGAGATCTTTTTCTTTTTCTGTTGAGCCACGTATTCCCCATCTTGTATCAATGCATTTGGCTTCACTTTCCTGGGTGGAGGACTTGGCACTTGTCCTTACTGAATCTCATTGAACTAGGGATGGCCAATATATATATGGCCAGTTGGATTTGTTTCACTGCTTCAATGCATGGTCATTCAGTTCAGTTTTTACTTCTGCCTGGGCTAACAAGAATTCCTTGGGGAACACCTTTGAGATGGTAATCCAGAGTATCCTCAAGATAAAACTTTTAAAGATTCCTTCTTCATCTCCACTTGGCAATAAGCCTTGACTAGATATCCTTTTGGAAGTTATTTGGCAAATGGTCACCTTCTAGAGGGGCATCCCCTTCTAGCTTTCATTGGCCACATTTTATCAAGTATGCCAATGTGTGAACTCTTTTCCTGGAAAATTGGCACTTTTACATTTTGTTCTCATGCCTCCAGTAAGTACCTGGCTGTCAGTGACTGGGGTTAGCCAGCGCAGCAATGGGTTGAATGAAAGCTGAATGTGAGCTGTGAGCTGTTGTTGAGATGTGGATTGTTGTGTTGTCTGAACTCAGCTGTGCTAACAATCCATGACATGTTAAACAGGAAGAAAATGCATGCTTTGTTGCTGGGTTGTGAACTGTGGATTGTTGTAGCTAAGTCCACAGGGTTCAGATAACACAGTAACTCGCTTTTAAATAACAATGCATGGTTCCATGACAAGCCATATCCAACCTTTGAATGTGTGGGTTATTTCATTCTTTGACTCCTATCAATGAGAGTGAATGCATGCCAACTAAATACTATAGGGATAAGTTCCCTGATGGAGGGGGAAACTTTATTTGAATGTAGATCCATGTCTCTTCCCTGCAGAGGAATTTTGCCTCCATCTATTTCTTCCATCAAAAAGACCCAAAACAAAACCCAAAAAAGTGTGCACAGCTTGTGCAAAATAGTTGGAATAGAATCTTCATCAATTCAATGCAATTAAATTCATAATTCCCAAGTTTCATGGTATCATCAAAATGCCCTTGCTTTTATTTTGCAATGGTTACTAGATAAACTGGTAAATGCTGATAACTTTTTGTATGTATGTATGTATGTGCTGTTGTTGGCTTTCTATTTTAAGGTCATCCTCTTCCCCAAAATACCACGGAAAAATGCAGTCTTTCCTGTACAGGATGGATGCTCTGCTTTCCTGACAGTGTGCATAAATACCTTCCTCCTTGGCAAAGCCAGCTTCAGACTGGCTGACTGGACCATCTCTGGAAGGCTGTGATCCCTGGTCTCCTTAGAATTCTGGAAGAGTGGTTGCTCAGCAAGAAGGCAAGTATTTTTTCTTCTTCTTTCAGAAAGAAAATGCATAAAGTGTCCCAATTCAATTAGTTATTGGAGGAACCTAATAGGAATGACAGGGCAATCTTATAGGTTAAATTATAGGAGAATGGCTTCTAAACATACGCTGTGCCATGGAAGGAAGAGGGATTGGAGAGAGAGAATACCTGGGTTCAGACAACACAACCAGCCCTAGTGGGTTTTTAAACATCATTGGCTTTTTCTGCTGTCTGAACCTAGACAAGGCATTGCTCAGTGGTAAATTTGGTATGTAGAGCCCAAGCTAAGAAATCATAGTTTGTTCTGTGGTTTCTTTGTACTACCATGGCTTCGCTTATTGTCAGAACCCAGGATCATGGTTGACACAGCCCTGCTATGGGGCTACCTCTGGAAAGAGGGGGCGACTGCAAGAATTGCTCCTGCTATCCAGCCCCTATATGAGGACCAATGAGAAAGACACAGACAAAATAGGCAGGGAGTGATGCACTTTGGGATTGCATTTCAGGCAGAGTGGCTGATGGGACACATGCCAATGGTGAGAGGACCAAACAGGAGGTGGGTGGGCACCATAATAAAGTAGGTTCATAGGGTGGAGTTGCTCTTCGATCCTCTTTGTCACTTGAGGCTCAGGTGGCCTCAGTGGCATGAAGGGCCTTCTACCAGCTTTGGCTGGTGGCCCAACTTTGCCCCTATCTGGACAGGGATAGCCTCATTTCAGCTACCCAATCCACATTGCTAGTATTTAAATTATCCAATACATTTTCTCTTCCCTTCCAGAAGTTGAAGATGATCGAGAACAAGGTAGTCCTTGTCTTCTACATCTTTACCTTCCTCACTGGCCTCCCTTCCAACCTCCTGGCCTGCTATGCATTGCTGAGGAAAGTGTGGCAGAAACCGATCCCCATCGACATCCTCTTGCTCAACCTGACCCTGTCTGACCTCTTCCTCCTGCTCTTTCTGCCCTTCAAGATGGTGGAGACAGCCTGGGATGGAAAGTGGATCCTGCCTTGGTCCTTGTGTCATCTGACAAACTTCTGTTTCTACAGCAGCTGCTACATCAGCACTCTTTCTCTCACAGGAGTCAGTGTGGAACGCTACCTGTGCACTGCCTATCCGGCCAAGTACAAGTCACGCCGCAAGCCTCCCTATGCCATAGCAGCCAGTCTCTTCTTCTGGTTAGTGGCCTGCTCCCACTGCAGCGCCATCTACATCACTGAATACCACCAGGAGGCCCTGCCCATACAAAACCTCACCACTTGTTATAAGAACTTCTCTGTTGCCCAGCTCCAGCTTCTTCTCCCTATCCGACTGGAGCTCTGCCTCATGCTTTTCTGCCTCCCATTCCTCATCACCTTTTTCTGCTACGTCAAAGTTATCCGTATCCTGCTCTCTATGCCCAGCGCACATCCCCAGCGGAAGAAGCGTGCTGTGGGGCTGGCTGTGTTCACTTTGCTCAATTTTGCCATCTGCTTTGGACCCTTCAACATCTCCCACATTGTGGGCTTCATTGAGAATGCAAGCCCTTCCTGGAGAAGATATGCCTTCCTCCTCAGCTCCTTCAACGCCACTTTGGACCCTGCCATCTTCTACTTCTCCTCCACCACCATCCAGCAAGCTTTTGCTGACTGGTGGCTCAGCATGCGCAGCAGACTCTCAGCTGTTGTTTCATGTGGCTCTCTCCCTTCCTGCACAGCTCCTGGAGACAAGGAAGCAAGTGCTGGCCGTTTACCTGGATCCGGCTTCTCTTTTGACCAGACAAGTGCTTACATCCTGACAGAAGCCTCTTTTGCACACAAAGCAGCAACCTTGGAGGTCAGAATGCTGGGCACTCTGGAATCAGCGCAAGGCAGAGAGCAACAGAAATGCGTAGAACACAGAATCTAAAGCACAGAGGGGCTTTTTAATGTTGACTTTCTGAGCAGAAATCATTAGAGCAACATTTTTGCATTTAAAATTTGAGTGCTTTAGTGTTGTTGGCATAGATCCTACTACTATGTATAGATCCTACATAGTGCACAGGCAGGCAAAGACAATACTTTATGCAAGTCACTGGTTAGCCGTCTTGGACTCTTCAGATAAACTTTTCTAAAGAAACGGTGTGCGTTGCAGAAATCCCTTTGGGCTGATCTGTGAATTGCATCACCAAAACAAGATCAAAGCGGGCAAATATTTGCATTAAAAATCCATTGCTGATGTATATGTATACATGCAATTTTATATTATTGCTACATTGGCTTTCTATCCTACCTTTCTTCCTATTGCAAGAAAATCAAGGTGGCTTACACTTAGAAATTTAGAAATAATGATTATACTGTAGACAGAAATGTGGTTTACAGCCTTGAACTTAAAAGAGTTGAGTGGGGCTGTCATGAACAGGACATTTTGGAAAGGGTTTATTCATGTGATCTCCAGAACTCGCAGATGACTTGACCAGACATAACAACAACACAAATATGGTTCATGTCATCCCAATGCATCTGCTTTTGACCAAGCCACCTGTGTGTTTGCTAGTACAGCCTGCTATGTTGTTACTCACTGTGGATTGGCAACAGCATTCACCTTTCAACTGGTCCTTCGGCCGGATAGTTCTTCAAATGGAGGACACCTTCAAATATCAGACAATCATCCAGCAGCCCTTCAACTAGAGGACTGTCTTCTTTAACAAAGAATAGATGGTCACCCATGTGTCAGCCCATCTCTGCTTAGGGTAAGCTTTGATACTTAGCTACAGCTGAAGCCCTGCAGGTGCTGGTTCTTCAAAGAGGTGACATCTAGAAAACCCATTCCTCTGTCATTTCACCCGCCTCAGAATTGGCTCTTCATTTCAGCTACAGGACCAAGGTCTGAAAAGAAAAAGAAGAATTTCACTTTTGTCCTCAGAATATGCAGGCATGCCCTGCCTGAAGCTCTGAACACACCACAGCCACATTTTCAGTGAAAAAGTTACCAAAGGTTGAAGATGTGCTTGATTTGATCTCATTCCCAATTCCCAATGTTTGCAAAT